TTGGTCTTTCTTCCGCAATACTGGTACTAATTTGCTGGCTTTTTTTTTTCTTTTTGTTTTGTTTTGTTTTATAACAGGGTCTCACTCTGTTGCCCAAGCTAGACTGCAGTGGCATCATCATAGCTCACTGCAACCTCAAACCCCTGGGCTCAAGTGATCCCCCTGCTTCAGCCTCCCAAGTAGCTGGGCCTATAGGCGTGTACCACCATACCTGGCTAATTTTTCTGTGTTTGTAGAGATGGGATCTCAGTATGTTTCCCAGGCTGGTCTCAAACTTCTGGCCTCAAGTGATCCTCCCACCTCAGCCTCCCAAAATGCTAGGATTATAGGCATGAGCCACTGTACCCAGCCTAATCTGTTAATACCATCCAATGAAATTTTCCTTTCAGATATTATATTTTTCATTTCTAGAAGGTCCATGTAGCTATGTTTTATATCTTCCATTTCTCTCTTCATTATGTTCATGTTTTCCTTTAAATCCTTGAACACATTCATAACAATTGTCTTAACGTCTATATCTGCTAATTCCATCATCTTTGTCACTTTTTGACCTGTTTCTGATTGATTTTTCTTTTGGTTATGGGTCTCACTTTCCTGCTTCTTTGCATGTCTAGTAATTTCATACTATTAATAGGTGCTGGAGTTTGTTGTATTCCTTTGAAGAAGATTGGACTTTGTTTTGGTAGATGGTTAAGTTGTTTGCAGGTCAGTTTTTAAGGTTAGGGCAGATCTAGAGTACCCTTTACTTTCAAGGCTAGTTCAGCCCATTGCTAAGATATGATCCTTCCAAGGTCTCTACTGAGTATCTGTGTATCAAATCATGCCTTCCCATCCTGGCTTGTGGGAACCAGCCCCAAGTGAGCTCTAGTAATTTGGCTAACAGCTCCCTATAACTGTACTTTCTCCAAAATTATTCTTTGACTGGGCTTGTGGAGTTTTACCCTGTGCATGTACAGATTGGTATTCTGCCATGTAAATTTCTGGGGTCCTTTTAATCTCCATAGCTCCCTCCCAGCAAATCTAGTCCCCTTGGCCTCCCCAAATTCTGTTCTCTGTTTCAATTCAGCAAGATTATGTTTGGGTACCCTCTGCTTGCACCATGGTCTGCAAATTACCTCTTGGCATAAAGCTAGAATAAAGATGAGTTTGATTTCTTTCTCTCAGGAATCACAGTTCTGTGCTGGCTATTGCCCAGTGTATGAAAACAGTTGTAGTATATTTTTTTCCAGTTTTCTAGTTGCTTATGGAGGGAATTACTTTTGTCGTTCCTTCATGGTGAAAAGCGGTAGTTTCCCACAATGACAGTTTTGGGGTAACTACTCTGGCCTAGAGTACTTTATTTTGTTAAGAAATTCTGTAAGTAGATTGCCAACTGAATGAAATATTTAATTACAATCTCCGTTCAAAGTCACTATCCATAAGGAAAAGATAATGCTTGGATATGTTTGGCAAACCGCCTCTATGTTTACAATCCCCAAAATACTCCCCGCTGTGTAAAAGAAGTCCCGATTTGATTGACTGCCACACCAGAAAAAAAACTTTTCCTTGAGGCCATGGTGTTTTATTACAAAAATAGAATAAAAACTTAGAAAACAAAATGATCCTAATTTAATGAAAAAGTTGTTACTTTTTATTGTTTTCTGTGCATGAGTTATTTGCAATTAAATTGTCAATATTAATTGTAACAATAAGAACATCAACAAGTAAGATTTTCATGAACCAACTATAGTTACACATGCTTCACGAGGCCTCGGGCTCAAAACTAGTATGAACTAGCATAAGTTAAATACAACTTACATGGCAATTAACATGTTAAGATACAGAACACTGTTACTGTTAATATCCCAGAAAGTCCTCTGGTATCCCTTCCTAGTCAATCCCCACCTCCACCTCCAGAAGCAACCACTGCTCTGAATTCTATCATCACAGGTCAGTTTTGCCTGTTCTAGAATTTCATATAAATAGTATCATACAGTAGGTAATTTTTTGTGACCAGCTTCTTCCATGTAGCATAATATGATTGAATGTATCAGTAGTTTATTCCTCTTTCTTGCTGAGTAGAATTCCATTGTTTATCCATTCTTTTTCTGATGAATGTCTGAGGTGTTTGCAGTTTTTGGCTATTACAAATAAAGCAAGTATAAACATTCTTCTACAAGGCTTTTGGTAAATATATGTTTTCATTTTTCCTGGATAAATACCTAGAAGTAGAATTGTCAGATCATAGGATACATGTATGTTGCCTTTTTCAAAAATGCTTTTGATTAATTGCAAAATATAAGTTGAAATGAATGTGAGCTGCAAGAAGGTTGAGATAGCATCTGTTTTGTGCCACTGTTGTACCCCTAGTGTCTAGAACAATGTCTCACATAAAGTAGGTGCTCAATAAATATTTGCTGAATAAATGAAAGAGAGCAACATCAAAAAATAAAAAAATGACTTATGCCTAATATAAGACCATTCTGTAGTCTCTTCCAATTATGCTGTTTTTGTAGGCAATTTTATATACTCAATTTCACCATGATCATTTTTTCTTTAACAGTATTGTTCTTATATCAGAATCTAATTTGACAAGCCCCGCTCTCTTTTCCTAATATAAGAAAAGATTTATCAATTTTATGAGATCCTCCTTTTGAACCTCATTAACAGTTTTATAGATAAAATGAAACTTTGTTTTGTTCAGTTCTATTCTTCCTTGTTCTTAGAACATTTATTGAACTAAGTACTTACAGTATTATCTACTTTTTGGTCTAGTTCTCAATTTTATACTCATTATTATAAGGCTATACTCAATATTTCATAATTAATCTATAAATTAATTTGTCTTTAAACTCTGTGTCTACTTGATTCATATCTTTTCACCAGTAAAAGGTCACAGGTATTTATAAATTAGATTTCTGCTTCTAATAATTTTGTCACTTTAACGTTACTTTTTCAAACACTACTCATTACATAACCTTAACTACAGAATGGAATGTATTAAGTAATTTATAGAGTCATTATTAACGTTTTTCAGGTGGTCTTCCTAAAAGAACATACAACAAATTATTTTAAAAACTGTTTTAAAACTTTCTGTAAGTGTATCAACATATGCCTTGTTTTTGGATTAACTGTATGGTGTATATTATTGTTGAAGTTGTTGGGACTAGAAAACTAATTGGTTAATAAATTGAAGTTAACCAGCTATGTATAAAACTATAATCTGGCCAGGTGTGGTAGCTCATGTCTGTAATCCCAGTACTTTGAGAGGTTGAGGCAGTAGGACTACTTGAGGCCAGGAGTTCAAGACCAGTCTGGGCAATACAGTGAGACCCCGTCTCTACAAAAAAAAAAAAAAAAAAATGCCAGGCTTGGTGGTGTATGCCTGTAGTCTCAGCTACTCAGGAAGCTGAGGCAGGAGGAATACTTGAGCCCAGGAGTTCGAGGCTGCAGTGAGCTATGATTACATCATTGCACTCCAGCCTGGGCGAAAGAGCTAGACCTTGTCTCTAAAAAAAAACAATGATGACAGAAAAAAACCACAACTATAATCTGTCTACTGAATTAATGATTGAAATAGTACAGTTTTAAAATTTGATAGAAATTCAGGTTATGTAAAAAACGTAGTGGTGGACTATTTACCAATCATATCACAATATCTGAGAGAATAACTTTTTAATTCCTCTAGCTGGAGAAGGCAGTACTAACTGATAGCAAGGTATAAATATTATTTCAAGATCTAAATATACTCCTTAGGAGCTGGGTCTCCTAATATTTACTAAACTATTTTAGGAACACATCAAATCACCTGATCATAATTCATCTCCCAGAAACTCCCCCCAAACAGAAAACTTTTGGTTAGTGTCTATGACTCAGCATCATTTGAAGTATTACGTTGTATGGGGGAATATACTTACTGGGATGTAATGTTGGGACGTGCTGTCCAAGTCTGTCATCTTTTAGCATGTGTAGCAATGTTGTTTTTCCCGCATTATCCAATCCAAGAAATACCAATTTACCAGTTTTCTTATATAATCCTGCAGAGTAAGAGCTATGATTGGTCAAAGTGATATCTGACACAGATTATTCAAATGACTTTAAACCTGGCCCAACTAAACTTGAATTTTGAAACCTATTTGCAGTTTTAAAAGAGCTATTTTAAGCTGGGCCTGTAGTCCTAGTTACTCCAGATGCTGAGGTGGGAGGATCGTTTAAGCCCAGGAGTTCAAGCTTGCAGTGAGCTGTGATCACGCCACTGCACTATAGCCTGGGCGACAGAGCGTGACTCTATCTCTAAAAAAATAAAATAAAAGAGCTATTTTATCTCTATCCCTGGTTTGGGACTTCAAATAATTATAAACTAAACTTTGCCCTAGTCAATAGAATATGTGTGTTGCCTTAACATATGCCAAAATGCTGATTACTTTGACAATTTAGGAGTAAATATTTGTGCCCTAGTCTATTAGGGAAACTTTCATAAAATACTTGGCATTGTCTTCCATGTTTACTAGACCTGGGATACTACATTTCTCCTTTAATTATGAATTCTGACTAACAATTTCTTTAAACAGTACTTCTATTCTGGCCCTCCCAAGATATGAAAAAAAACCCACCAATACTTCTATTTCTTAAATCTACAAAGATTGCCTCTAACCAATGCAATCAATCTTACGACCCTAAATTTTAAATAGTAAAAGTACACTGGATATGATTCCAAAACATCTAGAACATTTAAACTTCAATTTTTAAAGATTGTGGGTTGGACTAAATTCTTACTTTGTGGTAACATATATAGGCACTTCAAAGTACATACATTGTTTCATTTAATCTTCAGAATAACTCTTTGAATTAGGCACTACCATCTCTTTTTCACAGAGGGGGAAACTAAGGCTTAGGATTGACTTGCTCAAGTGCTGAAGTCAGATCTGAAATGCGAACCCAGGTCCGATTCCAAAGCTTTGGTTTGTCTCCCTTTCTCTACACTCCTTCCTAATGTTTGCCCTACTAACCTTGTTGTTCCTGATTGTGATGCAATTTGTTTTGCCTTTTCAACATAATTCAGCTTAGTTTCACTTTTCTATAAACTGAGATTCAGTTTATATTAAGTTAAAATCCTTATTTCTGATCCAGTTGTTGCAAATAGTACGTGACAAAATATTCCAGTCTGATAAAAAGATTTAAAAATTCTCTTGGTGGGCCGGGCGCGGTGGCTCATGCCTGTAATCCTAGCTCTCTGGGAGGCCGAGGCGGGCGGATTGTTTGAGCTCAGGAGTTCGAGACCAAACTGAGATTCAGTTTATATTAAGTTAAAATCCTTATTTCTGATCCAGTTGTTGCAAATAGTACGTGACAAAATATTCCGGTCTGATAAAAAGATTTAAAAATTCTCTTGGTGGGCCGGGCGCAGTGGCTCACGCCTGTAATCCTAGCTCTCTGGGAGGC